TCATTTGTTTTAGTTTCGGACTGGATCAATAACAATAAACTATAATTGTACCACCGGATCGCATTCAACCAAGAGTGTGTGAGCAGAAACCAATACGGAAGCAGTAAAAAGTGTTAAAATAGAATCACCTTATAATTTTCTTACTAAATTACTATTAATTCTTTTTTGGGTCCATTGTGCGAGAGAGAAAACGTATCCAACGCTAAAAAAGCGAGCCTGACGACCACCAATGCCTTCACATGTGCTGCAATACATTCGCACATGCATCATTTGATGCGCATTGATCAGTACCTTCTAACGGTATCTGACACTTGCATGTTTCATTAAAGAAATAGTGTTTTCTTTCGTGAAATCCTAAGGATTTCCGTAACTATAGAAAACCTCCTGGTTCATGCTCGCCAATGCTCCAAGTGCAGGGTAAATATTATATTCATAGACAATCGACATCCCTCTATTGACTGTACGTTTCTGAATTTTTTGATTTTTTTCTAACAGAACAATACCGTTACAATTCACTTATATATAAAATATACCAATTTATATTTCTCCATCAGATACCGATACACTTTATGGTCACTTTCTCCATTAGCTGAATGTTTTTGAGTTAACCATAAAAGTACGGTGGTAGAAAACCTTCTGGAAGAAAAGTTTCCTTTATCTAAATGTTCGTAGGAATGTAAAAGGTTGGATTCGTTTTTGAGCATGACAAGAACACAGGAACCTAGGAACCCAGACGCCATATGTTCTTCGAGAAATGAATCTTGTATCTAAGGGATCGATTCGTTTCTGTTATGAGAAGAACCCAAGAACCTCGATAGAAAATGGTTTTCGAGAAAAGGCTCTTGTATGTAGATGTTCGCACGAATGTAAAAGCTTGTTACGAATCTGAAAAGTTAAATTCGTTTTCAGTGTGGCAAGAAGCACACAACCTAGAAATCTAGATAGAAAATATTCTAGGAGGAACGGTTCTTCGCAAGTCGACGCTCGTGTCTAACTCGCGGCGCGATCGTACTGATGCTATAGCGATCGCTATCAATTTCCGGTGTCGCCACGCAAGTCGCTATCAAATTTTTTAAAAGAATAAAATTTGATCGCGACCTTTTTAATCGCGACGGGACTAGCGTAGAACACCACCAAGACCGATCATGTGGAGGCGCAAGGTATTCTTGAGAAGATACTTTCGTGCAAAGATATCGAGGCAAGCTGGAGACCAGCGAGCCACAGAGGCTTCACTTCACCTATATTTCTTTTTTTGATATATAACATAGAACACGAGAAACTTACTACGCCTTAAGTCAACAATATAGATCAATAACAAACAGAGCAAACATTCGGACACTATGTAACGCAAGCGCTACTTAATTGAAAATATTGCTCGTTTACTTACCTACTAACCAGTCTTACCGAAAGACTCTATGGCAGTATTTAAAAACTGTGGTGCTTGAATAAAAGACGATTTTTTTCTTTTATTTTCTTGATTAGATGACAGTTATGGCTTTAGCGTGAGTATGAAAAGTGATTATCATGAATTATCAAGGGACATATTTCGCTGTGATTAATTTCACTTTCGTAAATAAAATAACAAAGAGCATGCATTGTTACTATTAAATGGAAAGAAACTGAATTTGTCACAAAAGAAAAAAAATTTGTCACATGGTTGAGTGGAATGGACAGGCTTAGTTTGAATGTACGAAGTTGAATGAGAGGCGATGCCATATAGCACAAAAATGTTTAATGTCTTCCCCACGTGATAGCCACTAAAAGTTTGAATGGTCGGACAAATGCATTTAATGATACTGATATTTTTGAAAATATGTTCTCTAATACTATTTGCACCACTTATCCTTTGAGGTTGGTGTGAGGCTCTCGATCTAGATGATTGGCGGCTCGAGACTCCGGGCTAAGAAACAGGAAGAGACAGCAGAGGTGACCCCGGACTGCTAGGGCGAGAGCCCACATCAAAGAGTGAAGTTGTTACTGTTGTCGATGATTGATTATTATTATTAATTGTTAGCGACGGTAGTTGTACTAGTGCTTTTATCTCTTGTGCATAATTCAAAAATTCTTGTGGATTTGTCGGTTTATTTCATACGCACTTCGAAACTACTTTTCATTTTTGATAATAAATATTTCAATTTTAGTTGTATCACTATAGTCTGATCAGCTTCTTTACATAATTTCGTCATCTCTATATAATAATTTCTCACTGACTGATTATGTGTTTGTCTATATGTTTCTAGTTTACTGAAGGTAATATCAGCGGAGAAAGAAGACGTGAAAGCCTTTTGAATCAATTCCACGAAACTATCCCATGAAGTGAAATGCTTCTTATTTTCGTTATATCATATAAGAACTTCACCTTTCAATTGATACGAAATAATATTTAATTTATTCTCATCAGGAATATGTGCTATATCGAATGTATTTTGTAATTCTTCAAGCGATTTCTTCACGTCGTTATTTCCTCCACTAAAAGTTTTCGGACTTTTTACCAGATTCTCCAATACGGTTCTACGTAAGTCAGTCGTAGTTTGTTCTGTTAGAGATGTAGTCAAAGGGGTGCTTAAAGATGAAATATGTGTTGATGAAATAATGATTGAAGTGGGTTCGGTACTAAGCTTAACAGTCGTCAACGTTGTCACTGGTCGAGAATCATATACCTCGCCAGAAAAACTAGCCGCATCTAGATCAGGCAACGGTGTTTTGGATGCATAAATGTGAAATTATCTTTGTCAAGTTCCAAAAGAATTAATTCAGAAAAATCGTCCAACGATTGTATATATTTTCGACCTTTTATGTGCCAATGTATTGCTTCCTCAGATACAAGAAGAGGAACTGCGTCGTGTCGAAACGTTCGATTATCGTTTAAATATCAAAAACCCTAGCATGAGTAAAATTGCCATTATCTAAGCCATTATTTACCACCCTCACCCCTTAAAATCTAAAAATGTGTGCACCTACAATAGCCACATCACATTCAGTTGTTGGACTAATGACGTGCTACAAATCACAACGTGGACTGAATTTGTGTGTGGAAGGGTTTACGTACCGGATCCACACTTAAGCTAAATTGGTAAAAAATGGAAATGTTTGTATCGTGATAAAAAAATAAGATGTTCGTGTTTTATTACAACAACGTTAAATAAAGGATCTGAAGAATTTCCAAAATCTGATTTTATTAAATCAACCTCGAATCACAATCATGATCCTGACCACGATCGTCAAAAAGTAAACACATGCAAGTCAACTTTGAAAGAATTATCCAAATCTGCAGATCATCCACCTTCAACTAAAACCTATAATAAATTAGCTGGTAGTATGGGACTTACAACTCAACAAATGGCCATAGTACCACGCTTTGAAAGTTTGAGTGAGTGTTGTAGATGTGCTTGCCTGTTTTCTTCTAAACTGAGATAACGTTCTCTGTTTTCTAGACTTTTCGTAGTTCGAAGGTTGCTTCTGGTATTATTTGTTTTGATGCTACTCTTCTCCCTCGTGTGTGAATTCTTATTATTTTTTGGGTGTCACGTGAAGAGATGATAGATTACCTTTTTTCCACAGCAAGTTATTTCTTAAAATCTTGGAGTTTTCCCCAAAGAAGTAAAAATTGTACAGAATTGAAAAAGAAAATAAACATAGTATTAACAAACAAGAGACGATGAGTTCATAGGGAAACAATTACAACTCTTGTACATGTTGTCTCCTCCTTTTACATCCTACATCCTTTACGAACGAACCTAGAATATCAAAACAGAGAAAAAGAGAATGACAACAACTCATTTAGCTACGTTCGACAGTCAGACTACTAGAGCGAGAGAGTAGAGATATTATTATCTTGGAGTGCGTGCCATGGGCATTCCTGCAGTTACGAAACCCCTGCTTTCTTGTTAGTGAGTGTCTGTTCATACATGATTCTGCCCTGTAGAAGGCTTGTACGAAAGCCGTGCATTGAGACTTTAAAGTATAGCCATACCTTATACGAAAACCGCTTAAAAGTGTGGATACGAAAGGCCCGTACAATACCGATACGAAAGCCCTGTACAGAGCATCTTAGAATGGATTTGGCACATAAATATTCCGTTACGAAAGCCGTGTAAAACCAATACGAAAGCCGCGTATTTTTTCGGTGCCATGCGACGAGATGCTAGATCACCCAAATCGGTTATGGATGAATTGAGAGAACACCACAAGATGAGACCCGTTCCTCGCTTACTCTTTATTATTTTATATTTCGCTTACAAACTTTAGTTACTTTGGATCTCGGCATTCCAGTCGAAGTATCTAGTACGAATTGTCAAATAAATGAATCTTTTTGTGGACTCATTAATATCTAAGTGAAACTTAGATAAGCAGGTTTCTGACTACTGAAAGGCGCTTGCCAAAGTGTGCCATCGCGAACAAATTAACGGAATATGTGTAGAAAGAATACACTGCTCTTTTGTTGTTTAAAATAATTACTGTTTGTCATATCATTTGATTAAGCAACATAGAGTGCACCTAATGGGTTGATATGGCATTTCGTATGTCAAAAGATGTTGTATAACGAGCTGATTTTCACTTCCTAATCTTGTTAAGACATATTTATAATCTATCAATTAAAATGAGCAAAAGGTCGATTGGTAAACCAGAGGAAAAGCCATTAGCGAATAAGATAAAATTTGTTTTTGTCTACTTCACTATGGTAAGAACTCTGCCTGAAAACATTAAATTAGATAGAAAAAATGTCGTTTTGACGAAATTTTATTTCCATCATGACAGTAACACATTTCCAAATAAATTCTTCTTCATTCTGAGTTACTGTTGCGAATGGTAAGAAAAGGATGTAAGGTGACTTTGGTTTATTCTTTTATTCGAAAGACAATTATGAGGGTTCTTTACAGTTCTTTACAACCACAACAATACTAAACGGGTTCAAAATTTGTTTCTTTCAATAATTTTATAAGTTTCTGTTGTGTCATTGTCCTTAGTTTCCACCTGACAGAATGAATCCTGTCGTTTCTTTAAGTTAAAGTCAATACTTGATTAGTAAACCGCTCTTTACTATCTTCATCTTGCCAACTTTTTGTGTTTTGGAGTAAAATAACAACTTGCTCAGCTTTAACATACGTATGAATATCTCGTTTTTTGTTTGTGCGAACTTGAGGATGTTTCCTTGTTGTAAGCTTGTAAATAGAACTGCGAAGATAAAATGCTGCCGATGGAGTAATTTTAAAAACAGGCACTGTTGCGCGTGAGGGCCTGTTCGCCATCTTGTCTTGGATTCGTCACTTGGGTGCTGCCAATGCTAATTTACAAGACTTTTGCGCTTTTAAACTGCCGTAGTTTATTCTTTCCATGAATTCATTTTATTTGAGTATATGTTACTCTATTCATCTTTACTCTGAATTCTACAATATCTGAATCGAAATACGCTTTTCCTGCTTCCCGTATTACGTCATATTTATGCTTATGTTAGTTAATCCAGGCTACCGAACTATACTGACATCCAGACCGAGAAAGAAAACTTCAAAATTGAAGAGGAGTGAATGAAAAATTCCACTCACTATAACATCTCTGATTTTCAACTGAAAAAGATTTAGTTCATGCGAGTCCATCTATACTCGGTAATGAGTGTTTTGTAAGCTGAATGTACTTTAATGTTCTCGGATAAGATAGTGATATAGTGAAGTAGACGCAATTGGTGCATGGGATTGCATTGGTTAATATCGACAATTTGGACACGTATTCCCTCAAAGTTAAAGAAGATCTGGTCAGCTCGACGTAACCTTGGGTACGACTGTCAAAACAGTATATCCTATGTTTAGGAACCTTTTGCGGTTTATTCAAGATTGCAAACCAGGCTCTGCTTATAGCGGTGACGCTTCTCTGGATCGATAGTTAATGCGATGAAAGGGTAGAAGTGATGTGCGAAAATGTTGAACGGCGTGTGATTATTCGGTGGTTTGGCGGAGTCACTGAACGCTTCTGGAGGCGTGGCAGCCGGTACCGGCATGACACACTGCAACATTTGTTTCGGTGAGCGATGACGCCAGAAGTAATAAAAATTTGATTGCTGTGCAAGTTGCGAGATCGAAGGTGTCTGCGCCATGGAAAAATTTTGTCGGTTGTTGGTATGATAGAGTCGATAGGTGTTATAAAGGTACGTTAAATAGTGGTTGAACCCTTGTTGTGCAGTAAGACCCATGTTGGCATACATTTCATCTCGCAGCAATACGTCTTGATGCTGCTGCGAACGATTCAATAGAATCGCTTGTTGCAAGGTGAACCTATCAATCCAGTGTTGGCAATGGTCACGATGGCAATCACGACCGTACCAGATATATACGCATCGTGACGCTGTGTACGTGCTCTCGCGTAGTGAGCGTTGAGTATGTATAACGCGTAGGATGTTATACACATGTTTGAGATTATACACGACCAGCTTCTCATATTTAATAACTTCTGCGAGTAGTGGTTCAGCCCAAAATTTCCAGCCCCTCTGATTGACTAGTGTAGTGATGAATGGTACATTTAGCCGTTCACTGTACTTGGTTATGGCGGTCGATCCACCAATCGCAAATTGATCGGTCACGCCAAACCACCATTCGCAGGATGGGACAAATAGTGACACATCATGATTGGCAGAGGTGAGGTTCGAATCTTGTCCTGAAAATCGTATAGAAAGAGCATATGATCCATTCAAATACAATATCCATAGTGGATTGAAAAATGCCAACTGACGAGAGGGTCGACAGTAGAGTTCTGCAGATACTCCCATTTTCGTACCCGAACCCGAAAATCTTTTTTCCTAACCAAAACCCGTTGTTGATGTGTTTTTTTGACGGAACTATCATTATGCGATATCTCATTGTCAGAGAAACAGATTTTTTTACTTTCTTTGTTAAATTGGCTGTTTCTGCTATAACGAAAAGAGTGAACATTCGAAAAATACTTCAAAGACAAGAAAAAAATCCTTCGGGTTAAAGAAACTTTCGGTCATACTCGAACCCGATAAATTATCTTCTCGCTACCCATATCCATACTCGTACCCGCGGGTACGGATGCCACTGGTACCCGCAGAACTCTAGTCGTCAGAGCACAATAGAGTCCTGCAGGATTAAGACTTTTGTTAACCGAAACCGACCCGACTCTCCAGAGCCTCAACCGAAACGAACCGACGATTTCCTTCCCTTAAGGCCGCCCGCTCCGAAAATCAACTTTTTGAAAAAAAGTCAAAAATGAGATTTTGTTTTGGAAAGATGCGCCGAAGTCTACTCTTTCACAGCTTGTATTTCTTTTCACGAAATACGAAGGTTTCCATACAGCTTTCATATCACGCACCCCGATTTTCAACACTTTTAAGCAACTGCATGCAATGTTCCGACTTTTCGAAATTCAAGAGTTTTACTCTTAATAGACTTAGATAAAACATAGAAACATTCAATACCAACTGTTCACTTTTACTCTGTCCACTATTTATTAAATTTTCGACAGTTTATCTGTTTTACTTCGAATCTTTTCAAAAAGACGATGTTGAAACGTTTTCATCATTTTTCTCAAAACCGGTTTTTGAGCTAAGATTCGAACGTCGAACAAATTTTTTAAAAGTATAGTTCATTGTAAAGAGCTGCGGTTTTATTTATTTATTGGGGCACACTATACTCCTTCGGATGAGGGGAAGGATAGGCTGTAGGTCTGTAGAAAACCTCGTCTCTCGGGAGACCTCCAGCTGGTATTTCAAGATGTTAGAGGCTTCGCCGCCGCAAAAATTAAAGAGAGCAAGAATAAAAGAAATTCTTGCCCCTCATCCGAAGGAGTTGTCTGTCAAATAAAACAATCTCGAGCTCTGTACCTTGAAGTATAGTGAAAAAGAATGTGTACGGGCAAAACCCCCATTTTGGGCGTTGGTCTCTCGAGAACTCCTGAATGCTGAGGTTTGGCAGCGTAAAAAAATATCCGTAACTATACTTTGACGTGGCCAACACATGTGGAAAGTTTCATGGAAATCCCGTGCTCGGTTTCCAAAATAGATTTTCGAGGGGGACGGCGGCCTTAAGGGCTCCCCTGTAAGAAAAGACGATTTTTGAGTTTTAAAAAAGTCAGATAATCCGCTAGCCCAAAGTGTCCTCTTTCCGAATCTGTGCTCGTTTCTGCAGAATTCAACTGTTACGGTAACCAAACTCCCGTTTTTCTGAAAGTCCCAAATACGAGCCAAACAGAAAGATTGCTCTAGATGTCACTCCTAACTAATTAGATTGCGGCTTGACCACCACAGACACGAAGGTTGAAGTCTTCTCTTCAAGATGAGATACTGAAAACGGTATTGCAATATTCCCGGGCTGACATATAACCTATTTACTGGAAGCCTCCATTAGACAACAAGATGACTCATTGTTTGTTTATCTCGAAACTGAAATTTGTCTTAAAACTGACTCTAGTCCCACAAAGTTTGTCCGATTTTCGTCGGAGTGGTCTCATTCGGTAGAGAACTGAAAAATGATGAGATTTTAGTACCACTTTTTTGAAATTTTGCTCCTAAGTTGAGATATGAATTTTGCAATCTTTTTTTTCTACCCTTTTTAATACTCTCGTGTTGTTTTTTTAATATCTCGACTTAGAAGTTAAAATTTAAAAAAGTGGTACTACATTCGCTAGAGCTAACGATTCTCTATCGAATGATAGAACTGTGAGTTCGATATTTCAAAATTTGTGGGAGCAGAGTCATTTGGGACAAACCCTACTTTTTGACTAATTAAATAATTTTCATAATTTTTTCGAAAACTTTGATTGGTTGAAATTGTGTACATGAACGTACACCATGGTTCTCTACTACAATCGAAAATTTTAGCCCGACAGATCTACAGGGTACTGAGATCAATTCTTGACAGCGGGGACCCTTAATTGATACCGAACGGAACGAAGAAAAAATTTTCTTTCGTCAACGGAATCGAACCGCCCCTTTCAAAGTCTTAACCGAAATCGAACCGTTTGACCGACAACACATCTTTCAGCAAAAATTGAAGCATTTTTGTGTCGCGATAAAGTTAACAGCTATTTTTAAGAAAACGGCGTTTTTTTGTCTGTTCTTTCGTTAAATATGTTCATTAAATAGTGAAAAGATCAGGACAGGAGTACGCTAAAAAGAGAAGAGCAAACAATTGCTGCTCGTGAAGTCTGATTTCTTAGAAGCACTAAAATATTAACTCAACCGGGACGGCTGTTGTCGTCGAGGTTCGAGAATGCTATCAATCTCGAAGAAGACTTGATGTAACGCCACTAGGCTGGCTGGTACGGATAGAAGAGCGAAGGGGAGACGATAAATTTAGAAAGACAGAAAGGATATTTTTCTTTGAGAATCATACAAACAAACGAGATCAAATTCTACTGTGCACTAATGAACTTAAGAAAAATGAGTGGCCAATTTTTTTACCACGGATGGTTGTCACTGGTGGACACTTTCGACTCAGCACTAATGTCAAAGACCAAATGGATTCGGGGACACTTCGACGGGGGATGAAAAGGAGAGCGAGAGAGAGATAGATCTATCATCTCGAGCAGCAGGATTAGAAGTACCGTCATTTTATACGCTTTGTCAAATTTTTGAAAGCTTCTTTTAGCATTTTTACAGTAAAAACTGTCAAAATTTCAAGATTTTAAGGTAAAAACTAGTTTAACTCTTATTTACCTGAAAAACGTGGAAACCTTCTTGAAAACCCTTCGAACAACCCTTTAAAACTCTGAAAATCCCGAAACTTTTTGAACAATTTTTGTACCCGAAGCCTTTGAAAAATAGTGGGCCTTAACAGAAGCTCCCTAAAAATTCTGAAAGCTTGAACAGTTTAGAAGCCCCGGGAGCTTCTGTTAGGGTGGGTACAGGGGACGAAATCAGTGACCACGTCGGCGACAGACCGGTCGGATCTGGCCCAGTCCGGTATGGATTTCTAACAGGTTCCATCTATGGGTTACGCCACTAGTTAATAGACTCCTGAATCGAATTTAATGTGCACTGAGTAGTTGGTACTTGAGCAGCGACTACAGTACAATACTATCTGTAGAATCAGAATTTGTAATTTAGAATGGAAACATAAAACGTTTTTTTGTATTTTTTGCTTATTACACGTTAGCGCCTCCCGGAGGGCGAATGTGATAAGCTGCAGAATAACAAAAATACAGATCAAATGATTTTCGATGAAAGAAACAATATGGTTGGTGAGACATAAGAAGGAAATAAGAGGTGTAGAAGTGGATGCGGAACAAACGTGTGATTCGA